GGCTTATTTTTGAGTAGCAATGGGAATTGTTACATGGGATTTACATTTGTCTTTTTTCGAAGGGTGGGATTAACTTAAACGTAAATTCGTATTTTAAAACAAATTTAGGGGAAGGCAATGGTAAGTAATTTTCCAGAGGTTTAAATTTTCATCCTTCGATTTGGTAAAATCTTTTATATAAGGTCGTTAAATAATTATCTATAAACCAATAAAAAAAATTTACCTACTGCAACATAATTTCAATAACGCTTATACATCGCTACAATACTATTATCTATAGCCCATAAATATAATAATGCCAGGATCATTAATATTATTCCAAAACTTGATGTGATGTAATTAATTATATAGGTATATCAAATTAAATATGATGGCTGAGTCGCCGTAAATAATGTATCTGCATTCTACATAACACATTTCAATTTTTCCCTTTAATAACATAATTTAACCTACATTTAGCATAAATATCAGAACAATTTTAACTTTGCCCATTCTCCCTGAACTTTAACCTACAAGCGCAAATGTAAACATTTAAGTTTAATGCTATTGTAAAAACGAAAATTAAAATGTTTTGTTACATTGAATGTGCATAACTATAATTTAGAGTTATTATGTTTACACTTGACATAGTAGAGTACTTTATGAAAATAAGTGTACGACTTAAATTTATATTCAAATAGTACCTATAGGACATATTATGAAATAAAAGCAAGTTTTTCGTTTAAAAAAAAAAATAATAATAATAGTTAGATTAAACAGCAAGTTAATGTTATTTTAAGTAATATCCAAACAAATATAAAAGTAATAAGTAAATGTAAAAATATTCATCTATAACACCGAATATTCATCTAATAACACCGAATATTCATCTATAAACCGAAACTTATTGTTTTCATTTAATTTAGTACGGAGAACTTATTCGAAAGTCCGTAAAGAAAATGTGTTCAAAAGTTTTTTCGATCCTACGTCGAAGGATGAATATTGCTACCCCTAAGGGCATCCAAGAGAGAACCGAACAAAACAGGAAATACGGAATTCTACAGTTTAGAAAATTCATTTTCTCCTTGTTGTCGACTCATACATTAATCATTTGAAAAACGACATTCAAATGTTGAATTTGTAATCAATTGATATTGAATAATTTAACAATAAAATAAATATATAAATGAGTGCCTAAACACAAAAACTCTGGTTAATAATACATTTATTATTATTATAATTAATTATTAAGTCAATGATTAAATTTAAAGTTAACTTTCCAATACTGTTCCGTACGAATTGACCGTTTTGTGTTCCATTGACGTATTTAAGTGGGCTGATTAGAAGGATAGATCTTTCCTAGGGATAACTACCTATTTTTTAAATGCAAATGTCTTTACTTTTTGGTCAAAAAAATCAGAAATCTGGAGGCGTGCGGCTGTGTTGGTACCTAGATTGCACCTAAATCATAAGCAAACTAATAATAATATTACTAATACCTTGTTAATTGATTTCAGCGATATTTTTAGGTAAATTCAACTATAAATTTCTTGCACAAATATAATATAAACTCAAAATTGATACATAGCCAAGTTATAATACACGTTTATACAGTATAACGCGATTTAAAAATATCTCCCTTTTTGAGGAAATCCTTAATACACCAGTGCAGGTTAAAACTTAAAAATGCTATAAAATTTAATTACAATATTATATTATGTAGTTATTGTAATGATTTGGCAAAACAGGGCGTTAAACTGATGCATGATTTCAACCAAACAAGAACAAAAACAATATTTTCTCCAGACCACAAAAATGTATGGCAGGGAAATACCGAAAGTGAATAAAGAGTGAAAAACGTGAAAATAAAGTGAAAAACATATAATAAAACAAATTTTTCAATTTTTAAATTAATCAAAAATACTGAATTCTTTTTCTATTGTCTATTTTTCCCTTTTTTTATATATTTTACATATTATTATTTTTTCGATAAATTTAATTAAGATTATATTATAACATATTTTCGACCTATAAAATACTTTCCAATAGCAATTTTAGCTGATGATTTATCAACACTATTATGTAATCTTTTACGTTTCATGGCTAATAAATAATAACATTGTCGATTTGTATTTCTTACTCATCAGCTATAGAACCATATTTGTTCCTTATTAAATTCTGATAATTTAATCTGATACCATTTTTTAATCAACTATAATTTAAACCGTCAACAAATAAAATACATACAAATTACGTTATTTACCATCGCTGCTCGCAAACTGAAATTATTTTTATTTTTTTTTACGAAATTAGATTCAATGGTATTGTCATACCTGTAAAAATTAAATATAGGTAAAGATACACCAGTGAAAAAAACATTTTTTTTTTTTTTTTGGTCAACCCTTATATGTATTCCATTAATAAAAAAAATTTCGATTTAAATGTGTATTAAATGAGTAGGTATAATAATATGATACAATATTAAATAAAAAAAAATTAAGTTGATTGAAGAATATAAGGAAATTGATGAACTATTATATACGTGTAATAGTATTATATGTGAACCATATAATACTGTCTATAGACGTATATGTGTATAGTGTGATTGTGTGTTGTATACAAATAATAAAAGTATATTGAACATTATGTTATATATTATAGTGAAGAAGAATAAACATAAAACGTACAACACGATTGAATTGAAGGAAAAGGATAGGATCTGCTTCAATTGTAAAAAAGCAAAAAAAAATAAAATAAAAAATAGATAGATAGTAAGTATGTAGGTAACAGTCGGAATATATTAAGTGACTGTACACAGACGTGAAGAGGAAGTATTTTAGATTGTATTGAAAAAAAGATTTGAAAAGAGTGGAGACTTCAAAATGAAATTGATGAAAGTAATAGGAAAAGGTATAGCAGTAAAGGTACAGCTATACTTTGTTACGTATATACAGGGTGACCCACCAAGTTCTATGAATTTTTATGTCTCTGTTTACATTACATTTTTTTTTTTCCATTCGTATTTTATGTCAGCGGGACAAATATATGTAAAACAATTTTATTTTCACCCCTTAATAGCTATAAAAAAAAAAAATTACCATACATTCATATCCGTTCAACAGTTTCTTATTAGATAATTGCCGTTTTAATTTCTAACACGATATAATATATTACCATTTATTATTATTAATAGATACACTATAAAATGAAACCTGGTTACCTTAAAAATTGTTATCAATCGACAATTTTATTACAATTGCGATTCCCTATCGCGTAATATATATATAATAGGTATTATAGTATATTATTATGAGGTCTTATGGGAAAAACTACTAGAAAAATCGAAAAATGACTTTCTTACTGACCAACTACATAATATTTCTTTGAGAAAAAAATACTTTTTAAAGTAACTGGAATTTCGGCGCAAAAGTTCTGTTAGAAAAACAAAATTGAATAAATTTAAAATATACCTATTTAAATCGCTAACGAAGTAAATTTGTCCGGTTTTATTTTCCCTGTTTTTCCCAACTATAAGTAAAATCAATACATTATTTTTTTCAATCTCCTACAAGGCAAAATGTTCGTTCAGAGAAGATACTATATACCCTTGAAATTCGGACCAATATATTTCTTGCTACACTCAGAATCTAAAATGCGGCTTAAGTAAAAGAACAATTCACCACAAATAAAAACATTGACGAGAATTTATAGCATACAATACCTACAAAATTTAGAAAACTTTGACGGGTACAGTTACTGTTCAAAATAAATGGCTTTATAAATGCTTACATTATTATACGTATGAAGAAACAAAATTCAAATAATAATAGTTTACAATTAAATTAAACAATTACAAAACAAATTTATTTTGAATGGATTAAATATTACTTTTACTAAATAATTATAATATTATAATATTATATTATATTTATATGTTGTATACATTTATATTTCTCAATTTATATACAAAACAATATGATGCATTAATTGATTTAGAATAAAGTTATCTACCTTCGGTAAGCAACGCTTGTGTTGAAGATAAAAAGTTTAATGTTTCATAATATAGATGTATAAAAAAATAAAAAATAAAACAAGATATAAACATTAATAGATACACACTTAAACTAGAGACGTGAATAATCTATTAATAACCGACAATTAAGCATTAGAAAATGTACAGATATTTTTTTTACAGGCATAGAATTAAAATAAATAGGACCGAGGTAGTCCACGAATTTTTGACCAAATGATTTTTTGAAATATATAACTTTGACATCATAAGCTATGTTTTCTCTTTTATCTGAGATTTCATTTAAATTAAATCAGTTATTAAAATTTTTTACCACCCATAAAATGGCAATTTTTCGAACAATATATCCACTGGTATTACATTAAAGGATTTAAAGTTTATAATAGTCGAACCTTCAAAGGTGAATTTTTGTAAACATATACGAACTATATATTTCAATTATTTTAAAACACTTCTATGGTAATCAATTACACACTATTTATTTCTGAACTAAAAATAATATTAAAAATATCACGAAGTTAATGACAACAAAAAGTCAAAAACGTCAACATTTTCGGAAGAATAAAACGTTTAAACTTTTCGAACATTTAAATTTAATTGTAATACCTACGAATATTTGTAATCCTCACTCTGTGAATCAAAATATGACTTACTTATAGTATGGCTGATATATATAAAATAGACATATCAGGATGTTATTAAAAGAATAAGTGTAATGAGAACGATAATCACAGAATAAGAATATATTGTAGTACAACGTATAAAATGATAATATTTCGCCGTGATTATTATTGTTATCGCTATTACCGGTATTCGAATAGATACCTACCTATCGACAGCCGGTGGTACTGCACATTCTCAAACGTACAAGTTTAAGAGAGAACGAAAACCTTACCGACATCTACCGGCGGAATACGCCAAATGCCAAAATAGCATTAGCTCCTTCTCGATATCGATCCGGTACATCGCGCGCGGACTGTTTTACTGATAAGTAACGTTATCTCGTAATAGGAAGTATTAAAAGTTTACACGCAGACTGTATATTATTGTATTTCCGGGCGCGTTTACGGTACGTAACATCATTTATATAATATTATCGTCTAAGCTGTAGATAAATAGACCAATAGTTACCGATACCCGGGGCATTTCATTATGAATATCCGCTACGTGGCCACTCTCTCTCCCTTAGAAAAGCTCCGCTAACAGACAGACACTTTAGTTACGTATTTTCCATAGTTATCCATCCCTGCAGACCAATGAAAGCACAATAATTCCCTATATAAAATAAAACATTTTGTTACGAAATCCACCGATTCAATCATTTTTGTAATCATTTACCGTGTTTCATATTATACAATACATTGGACACGCAGTGAGCGAAATCTCACTCTACAGAGTGTCCGTTTGAACACACGACGACATTTATTATATGTGTCGAGTTGGACTTTTTACATTCTCCTGCGATCATTATAAATTTTCTATCCAAGATCGTCGAAACTTTCGAATCGTATTTGGCAATTAATTAAATTTTTTGAAACGCTAAGCTGAGCTGAATAAACGCGCGCGCGCTTATAATAATTTCCGACGGCATCGTTTTTATAACAACACGCGGGCACACTGCACGCCATGACCGCAGTTTCCAAATCTGTCAGCTTCGCAAAAACCTGTCGTCCGCTATGTGTACATTTTGAAACCGACTATTGTTCCGGTAACCCTTTTGTAGTATAGTTTTGTGCCCCCGTCCTCGCGCGGAACATATTGCTGAACGTATAGCGCTGAACCCTTTTTATACACACGGAGAGCGTATAATAATAATAATAATAATATAATGTTATCATTGTTATAATCTTGTTTATGGTCGTTAATGCGAATTATTAGGTACTCGTACATAATGTATTGCAGTAATACTATATAAGTGCGTATTTCATATAGGTATTCGATTACATAACCGCGATACTTATCGTTAGAATATTATATTTTATACATTTTTTTTTTTTACATTTTTTTTTTATTAACAACATATATCATCATAACCAAATTCGTAAACTGACAGCCGACAATCGTCCGATTTCCGATAAAATACGACAAACCAATTGTAGCTGAACCTACGGCGTAAACGGCCATAGGTAATGAGAAAAAAAAACCACGGAAAAAAAATCCATGGTATAAAAAGCCACGGAAAAAAAAGACAATCTGTATGCTTCGTAATATTAATTTTTTTTTTTTTTTTTTTGTTTTTTCTCCGACCAACCATTAATTTTCCCACCAGAAAAATTACTGAAGTTAAATATAAGTTGAATAAAGTTTTACTAAAAATAAAAACAAAAACATACACATTATGCAATCAATATCAATCAATATTAAAAAAATTGTTCTATAAGGCATTAGCAAACAAAAATAATAATAATACGTTCAAAAAATATACTACAGACAATTTCAAAAATGTCAAGTACCGCTGGGCGGAAATTTAAAAACACAAAATCGGAATGTCTCGTCAACAGTTTGACGGAAATTAAAAATGTCAATACCAAAATGTATTTTAGCAAAAGCTTCATAGATTTACGGTATTTTTAACATATAGGTCACCATTTGAAAATCAAAATGTTGTAGTATAATTTCACAACCGACCGTAAAAGTGGCAATTAGCAATTAGCAAGTGTTACATTTTTGCGCTTTGCTCGTTTCTTAAATATTTCAAACTACTATAATTCCGAAAAAGTTAAATATTTTCGGAGATAACGAGTAATTTAACTTAGTTCATTGTAATATCATATACAAATAAATAAATAAATAAGATATAACAAACGTCTTATTCTATTAATATGTTAATCGGTAGAATCGTGATTTTTAATTTTTTGTTTTTTTGTTTTTGCAGTTACAACAGCACTGGCCATTGACGACCTCACGTATCATTCAATGCACCTGTACAAATTATAAACTGCGGCATTTATCCATGTAAATAAAGACAAAGTAAATAAAATAATACGATTCAATACTTATGCGCATACACAATGTGTAGTGCCTATTGTATTAATTAAATTTTAAAAATTACACGAAACAAATATTATACCGTTATAATTCATTTTTCGGAGAAGTTGAAATAAAAAAAAAGACGGGCACACTACGCACGTGGTTGCAGCCACTGTTGTAGGTGAGAAGTTGAGAAGGTGGGACATAAAAAGGAATGTAATATTTATCTGTAAGCAACAATTAACCATTGCTAACGAAAAAACGATTCTGAGCCGAGTTCAATTAATAGTGATGCTTTGTCAACAATTTATAATTTGTCATTTTACGGTAAATTAATTAAATAGGCATTATAAATTTTCTTTAATATTATTGGTTTGATATTGTGCCGATTTTCCTACGCTTTTCCTCCGTTTTTTCCCATTTGTTGAGAAAACTCCTGAGAAAATCAAAAAATTACCTGTATAGCACTGTATAGCGACCTAGGGCAGTGACGCAACTAGAACAGCTCATGTAATGCACGCGGTAAAATATCCAACATTATTATTGTTGCCATACACCAGTCCGTCGACTGAAAACTCGGAATTATGCCTCGTGCCCGGATTTAGGACGCCTAAATGGCACGGGACCGTCACGCCACCCTATCGAACTGCTTGATCCGGACTTGTGCACACATAGGCGTCGTTTGATGTAAAACCACTGGGTAGCAGCAAACATCTTGAATACTATTTTTAATTAAATCGCGGTCTAATGAAGTTCGCCTCACTTCATTAGTCGGTATAAATCATTTATCGGGTCCTAGTCGATTGTTCATTAGAATAAGGTAGGTAAAAAAATATCAAATAAATTTAGAAATACAAGTAATCAGTTGACTGGTCTTTATATACGTTCAAATTCAATACAGCCGATAGTGTAATTATTACATTCGTGTGATCACATTATGAGAAAAAGCAAGACAATTATAATTTTTTTTTCGTACAAAAATTGCCTACGGGGTGACAATCCGCAACCCCGATAGAATTTGTGGGGTATCGTGTTGCTACCCCTCGCTATCCCGTAATTACGCCTACGCAATATTGCGCACGTACCTAAAATACAATAACGATGGTGCACCTACATACAAACGCGTATATAATATCATCTATAATATTATCGAGTGCGGATAACGGTAGACTGCGCATAATATTCAGAGGGCTATAAAAGGGTTCCTTCTACTTTTTTTTTTTCTTTTGTTTTTTTTGTTTCTCGGCGCAGCCGATTATCGGATTTAACCGGGTCGCGACCGACGACGTCGGCGATACGGCCATACGAGACGACGAGCGCGTCATCGCCGTCACGCTGCGTTCACTTCGGCCGTGAAACGATTCGACTACGCCGCAGTAAATCGAATTTGCGGATAGTCGCGGACAGTCACGTTCGGACGGGTACCTACTGCAGTTCGCGGCGGGTATACCGGACGGCGGCGGCGGCGGCGGCGGCGGCGGCAGCCGGCTGAGCGCATCTGTCGCCTCGCGCGCGCGCGGTAACATTATTTCCCGTTAAGCGGATAACGATATAAAACGGAGAAAAAAAAAAAAGGCAGTACGCCCCGTCGTCGTCGTAAACGCACGCGGTGGGACCGGGGCTACAGGGGAGCCGGCGGGATAGTGGCCGATATGAAGGGACTGACGCTGCTGGCCGGACTGTTGCTGCTGCGAGGCATCGCCGCCGGGTTCCAGCGGGGCCCGCACCATCCCCGGGCGGCCGTGTCCGGCGAACCGAGAATCGAGACCCACCACCATCACCAGCACCCCAAGCCCATGAGCGACACAAAGTTCACCCAAGACAAACCGATACTGCACGACAAAAGGTCAGTGACGCGGCGGCGGTGGGGTGAGCCGCACGTTCGTAATGTTAAAATAATATAATAATGAACATGAATATTGTTTTTCAACGATTATGTGGGTAAAGTTACAGGCGTGTTATGGCGATGTAGCTCTCGGTTAACAGTGCACCGTTGTTGTTCACTACTCGATTACACTGTCGCCGAAACATTTTATTCACCGACGGATACATAACCAAAGTAACCAAAGACAAGCCTTGGTAGTTTTAAATAATATTAGGCGTGTTTTGGCGATGCATTTTTGAGCGACCTGGTTACTGGTTTAGTGAGCAAATTGTTTCGGCGACACAGCTTACTGTAATTTATTGTTTGATAGCTGAATGCACCAAGACCGGGCATAGGCCGAATCAGCAAACAATTATTATTGAAAACTGCGTTTAGGTACTGTTTTCGGTTAGATACTAATAATTTACTGATAAGAACTATAATTCCATCCATTTTCCATGACAAAAAAACACTATACAGTAAACAAAACGTTTTAGCGAGTAACCGATCAAGTAGCAAACAACGCAGCCAACTGTTTAAGTATACTGAAAGTTGCATCGCAAAAACAAGCCTATTGTTCGTCGGTTTTTCGCAAAGTATATTCGGTTATCGAACAGTTTATTGCAGTAAACAATAGCACCAAAACTTTGGGGGGGGGAATGGGTGTTGCTGCTCGGGAATTTTAAATAGGAGATAGGAGTAAAAGATGTGTTTTACCTACTTAGGTATACTATAATCATACCTTGAGAATCAAGTTTTATTTTCCACTGCATATAATCGATCATAAACTATGAAAATTAGATACACTCAGACACTCATAGGCCATAATGATTAATTATTTACCTAATTTTATAACATATGCCTTATGCTTATAACTCAATTAATTAATACACCATAATTTAATTCATAACTCCACCTACATTATCATTTCTATACTTATATTTTTATTTTGACACATGACCTATATGACACACGTCATACAGCTTTACGGGTCAATGATTATTTGTGTTTTCGTTCATACTTCTCCCTAAATGAGTATAGGGCAAGAGATTCGTGGAAAAGCCTTATCGGGTAATTCAGGTAATCATTAAAATGATAAAAATGATTTTAAAATTGAATACAAATTAAAAAACTGACACCATATCCCTTAAAAAAACTAATATATATATATATATATATATATATATGTCATATTTGTAGTGAAATGAAAAATTTTGTTTAAAATTAACAAAAGAAAGTTCCGAAAAACCTAATGTTTGAAACTATGTGATACCTTTAGTCAAATATTTCTTTTATTTAACCGTGTACGGTTCGTTTAATAAAATTCATAGATAAAATAAATTGTAATTATTATCAATTACAGAGAAAAAAGTAATATTAAGTTCAACAATTCTGATAAATACCTAATAGATTTGATAGTAATTAGACAATAATAACAGTGACAATCGAACCAGGAGGAATGAGAGAAATACATAAGTACCCCATATGAGTAAACTGATCTAGTTAAATAACTACTTTAATCATGTTCCTTTGTAGCCAACATAGACAAAAAAAATATCATGTACCTTCATTATTTATCAGATTTTTAGGAAAATAAGCATGGCAACTAATGGGAATCTAGAAAAATTGCTCAAATTACGAAGCACTGAATGAAAAATCCATCTATTTTAAATATAATATAAACTAGAGCAAAGATTCCCAAAGTATGCAGCGCGGTGTCACCGTTTTGAATATTAACTGATTTAAAAATAAATTTAAAACCCAAAAGACAATGAAACAGTGAGGTCGGCGTCCTTTTTTTTTTGGATTTTCCTCAAAACATATTTTTGTATATATTGTATATAATTGTATTTTTATATAATTTTAATGGTAATACTATATTCATAATAACGAGTTATAATTTATAAATAAACACATCAAAAAAACAAGTGTAAAAAATATAATACCAATTTATAAATGCTGTATTCAGTAAAACTGGCAGACAACAGAGGTATATAAAGGTTTTCTGTACCAGTGTTTCTTGAATTTTTTACTGTCACAATCCCCTTTATGACTATTCAATTCATTAGCAACCCCTTAATACATATCTTATACATGGCGATCTAATATTTTAAAGTGTTGGTAACCATAAATAACTGGAAACCCCTAAAGGGGAAATGACCCCCAGGTTGAGAAACACTGCTTTATATTATGCAATATAACTGACAAACCATAAACCTATACTGTTTAAATAACTACACAATTTTTTATTTATTGCATGTCTTTAATATAAAAACATTTGAGATTTTTATTTTTTAATAAAACAGACATATTGAAGAAGATCTTGGACTTCCAGAAATCAATGATAGAAATTTAACAGAAGAAGAGTTAGAATTTAGATATTTTATGTGAGTAACATTATACATAGTTCTATTAATATTATTAAAATAATCAAATAAATAAATTGTTATTTTAGTGCTCATGATTATGATAAAAATACAATGCTGGATGGATTAGAGCTTATGTCTGCGTTTGCTCATAATATGGAAAACTATGAAGTCAGCACATTTAAACTTAACTTAGAAGATTATATAGGTACAGTCTTTTTTAAATTACAAATAAAACATATTATTATCTTGTATATTTGTAGGTTTAGTGGATCAAATATTATACGAAGATGACACAAATTATGACGGCTTTCTCAGCTACACTGAATACGTAATTGCTAAAAGCAAATTAATACAAAATGTATAAAATATTATATTACTTTTTAAAAAATTAATTGTTTCTTCTCTCTGTTTAGACACAAATTTTGATAGTTATTTTCATTTTGTTAAATATATAATTGTATCAACAGGCAACATCTTTGGTAATTAATAAACCACGTTCCCATAAATCAGTCACTAATTGCATAGCCTGAAAAATATTTTAATTATTAGTAAAAGTTTATAAATTTAAACATCTAAATTATCATTAGATGTTTTCTTTTGTGTTTAGCTTCCTTTAAATAATTAAATTATAATATTATATAAACCTGTTCATTATCATCACACAAATCAGAAAATTTAATAAATGATGGGTAAGTATTAAATAATTTCTTTACAAACAATCCCATTTCATCAGGTATGATGACAAATTGACATTCATTACCATATAATAATTTAGTATTATCTAGATTGTAATATAATCTAAATTCATTAGTCATTTTATCTGTTTCTTCGTCTAACATGGTTTCTTCAACTAACCTATAATTAATAATTTTCTATTATACAATTATAACAAATGTTTTAATTAACAATCAAAGAAATATTTAATATTATTAAATTATAATTTTTAGATATTGTGAAATAATCTATGGCTAAAGTTAAATTTGAGTATTATGCACTTTGCTCCATACTTTTTTTAAAAAATAAATTAGATACCAATATACCAATCAGGTCAAGAAATTTAGGACGAGGGTGGACAACTACAAATATTTGTGATGAAGACAAAGAAGAAGATCTGTATCTTATATTAAATATATTATAAATGTAAATACTGTTATGAAAAGACAAGGTTTTACAATTTACCTAAAACAATTTCTCCTGAGAAGTTTAACTTCTGAATTTTCAATATCGACTGCTTCTGTTGTTTTCCCATTGGATTGCATCTTTGTACCATTAGCAACAGTTCGAAGCGCTTCAACTACAAATTAATGTATACGTTTTAATATTTGAATTTGTTAATTAATAATATAAAACAGAGGGAATAAATAAAGACTTAATATCTCTGTAAACGTACAATCACTTATTGATGGGGGCAATGAATTAGTATAATAATTTTTAAGTGAAAACATATCAACAGCATGATCAAGATCGATGTGTTTTTTTAAGTTCTGTATAAGTTGGTTAATTTGATTTTCAAATGTTTGCCTTTGAGCAGTATAAGGCTTTTCTGATATACATAAACCTCCAAAATGTTGATATCCAATTGGTAATCCAGATCTATAGGCTACATCATTCTTTACTGCATTATTCAAAGAATTATTAATTACCTGTAAAATATTATCAAATTAAAATCTATAAAAAAATTAAAAAGAAATAGGAGAAAGAAGGAAAATCTAAGTTGTGAAAACTACACAACTCAATAATTAATTAAGCATATTATGTAACAGTTTTATTTAAGAATATAATAACAATAGATGTACATGGTAAAGTATTAACCAGGTCAAAAATGCAAATACCCATATTTATCATACTTAAAAAATAATAATGTTTTATGGATGAATAAGATTATTAAATAAAATGCATAACATAAATTACTTAAACATTGTTCTTACCACTTGAAGAAAATCATACATAGAATATTGTTGGTAAGTTGAAAATGTTAAATGCAAAGAATGAGTTTCAGTAAATAATGTATCAGCTTGATGAATATAACCTCTGGGCATATACAAAAAGTCTCCAGGTTTTAATATCACATCTAAAATTGGTTTACCAATTTCATCTTGATGAAAATTTCCACTAGATTTTCTTGGCAAGGTTTCAAATTTACTTCTAAAAATGCAATTTTAAAAATCGTTTGATATTGTATATATTTATATATTTTAACTATTACCGTGGTTTATAAACTCTCCAATGTTTTTCTCCATCCACTTGCACGACAAATGCTTCTATATCATCATAGTGAGGAGCAAAACCTTGAGAAAATGGTGGTGTTAGGTAAACATTACAACCAACTAATGAGCCAAAATATTCTTGTAAGTTAGCCATGAATTTATAAATTTCAGGAGCAAATAGCTGAGGATTCTGTAGACGGACACTACATTTATTGTTGAAATAATCCCAAACTACATGTGGATGAGCTCGGCCAACTGGATTATGTGTTTCACGTACATTATTTGCATATGATGTAATATCTACATTGGTACCATACTGAAGATTATTTTGACGAAGAATGGTATCAAGTTCAGTAATGGAAAATAATTCAGAAAAGTAATTAGGGTCATTTCTAGAAACATGAAGGATGGACTTTTCCCAATTATTTCTGAAAAAAAAAACATAATTTTAGTAAAATATTGGAGTACTATTTCACATAAAGCAATAGGTACTAGTAAATATAAGAGTTCTATAATATAAAATCTATAAATATTCTATATTAACTATAATCTCTTACTTATTAATTTATAATATTAGATTTTATTATTATTTTTTATTATGTTTTCTATTTTTCATTTATTTGCTTTTTAATTTATATAAAAAAAAAAAATTATTATAGGTATTTAAAATAAAATGTTAATTATGTTAATTATATGCTACTGTAAACTATACCTTGTACCATAATTTATATCATGTCTTGTAATAGACCTTGGTTTTCAACCTTTTACGCATTGCAGACCTAATTTTTTTTTTCATTTATAACAACCCTTTCAAAAATCATTTAACAAAAGTTGAATAATACGATTTACAGTAGGTATGCATGATACTTATGGTTTTTAATTACCTATATAGTCAAAATCGCGTTAAAACTACTGTAACAGGGTATTAGTCCATATATTTGTTTTACATTTGTAAAAATTAAAAAAAAAAATCAAAAAGCTTGTGAAAACTGTAATAATAATCAGATTAGTACAACATAAAATTTCAAATTTATAAAAATATTGGAGTAAGTTAATACCATTTTTTTTAAATTTTTTTTCAATAAGTAAATACATAATATCTATTTGAAGAGTATAGTCCATTTTCTTTAATTTTGAAGTAATTATACTTAAAACTTGATGGATTATTAGTTAGGGAATCATACACTGTTTTAACTGTGGCCTTCATTGTTTTACTCAGATTTAAAACTAATAGAAATGTACTCACTTCATAAAATCTTCAATACTAAATGGATGTATCAACCATTCAAATAATTTTTGGCCTATCTTAGTAGAATTATTTAAATTTAGATTGTAAATTTTATTTAAAACAAAATTATGCCCAGTTTTTTTTGGGCGAGTTACTCCGTGTGTGGTTTTAAGTTTCTTAACTGAAATTTGTTTTAATTTCTTCTTATTTTTCAATTTTTTGCTCTCCATTTGCAATTTTGCCTTGGCGTAATACTCGAATGCGGACATACTATTTAAAATCGATCAATAACAAATATTATTTTCGTCTATTTTAATAATGAAAATCTAATTAAGTTTTTTTGTATTATTAATATATTTATACTGATTGTTACAAAATAGTAACTTGTAACTTGTAAGTATGTAATAGGTAGGTACCAAAATAAGTAAAACGCAATACACACATTACAGTAGTAGGTTCCGGAATCCGTTTCAAATTGATAAGATAAGGATAGTCTACTGAGGTATAAGGTCTATGGTCAAAAGCCGTGAGGATAAACAGTTTATTAAAGTGATAATAACCGGTGATAATACCATAGAAAAATTATTGATAAATCGATATTTTGCTGTCTAGGAACGCGGCAGCTTACGTTAAAACTATAAGAATGACTAAGAGAATAGAGAGCTTATATCTCGATATCTAGACTCTCTGAAATGGTCTATCTATTATTTATTATCTATATATGTGCACCATGGTTTAAGGTATAATAGAATTATGTCTATGACAACGTATGTTTATACACAAATTATATTTACATAAAAATTGTATCTATAAATATACTTTGGTCCACAGTCTTAGAAGAACGTGTTGTTAACAATACTCAGTCTATATTATGACTGTTGGCTTCAAACACAGTTATAGATACTAGTATCTATAGCTATGGCTTTAAGTCATAGATATTAAATATCTTAAATATCTTTAATATCTATGCTTCAAGTATGGGCACCGAGTCAGGTATACCTATTCTATAAAAAAAAAATATATATATATATATATATATGTAGTATCTATAGCCGTGGTATATAATATGAAATCACATAATCTATGGCTATGGCTAAACCCGCCATAGCTATTATATAATTTTTTCTATTACTGATAAGAATTTTGACCAAGCATAATCAAGTTGGTGATTACAATATGTTCCAAAATACACTAATACTACTACAATCATTACCACTATCAGCACTATCTACCAAATAACTATCTGGAAGATAAAATTTCATTGAAAAAACTCATTAGTCGTTACCTAGTTGGGAGTTTGTTCGACAAATAAATGCGTTATTGAAAAACCGGGCCTTAAGTCTTAGTAGTCTCACAAAATATACCCAAATATATGCACTGAAGAAAACCTCAAAAGTGAACTATAAAGTATATATATTGTCAAATTGAGCACTCATTTGATCAAACATATGATCATAAAATTGGCGGAAAATCTGACCAATCAGAAACGGAGAATATGACCAAGCAAAATGGCTGCCTGCGCTAGAATTTCGTAAATACATACTAATACTGACATACCTCTTTAGTTTTTTTTTAAAGTGGATAGTAGGTCATTACTCAGTGTATCGCGATATCGCTGTAATTAGCATTAAGCGGTTTTTCTCGATCAGTTAAAATTATTCAAATAATACACAATGAAAAATAATTTGTGTATCTGTCGCATATTCGTTTAAATCATGTATGATTAAAACAATAATCAAGTATTTTCAAGTAACTTGACATTTACAAAATTAACAACAAAATTTTATCGTAATTTTTGAACCAAACATTAATCATGTTTAGTAGATTTAAATTACACGAAAAAAGGTACCTATTATTTTATGGATAAATAAATTTTTTATAGAATATTATGGTATTATTTATACAATTTGGTCATGATATATTTATTTAATTAATATTAATTTTAAATAGTTTATCTAAGTACTAATCAATTTTATTCTAATATGTGAAATTCACAATTTGTTTTCAGCAACCCAGAAAATTTGATTGAAAAAAAGAAGATAGGAATTGATACTGAAGAATTTAAGAACATAACATCTAACATTTTAAAAACGCAGAATTATTTTCGGCAGTAAGCTATATATATATATCCATAATATACAACTTATTTAGTTTTAAAATGTATATGATTGTTTATTATAAAAGATATTTCTTAAGTTTAAAATAATATTATTACATAACTAACTATTCAATTTTGGTTAAATTTCCTTTTTAATTAAAATATACCTAGTTATCATTATTAGTATCATACACATACTAGGTATTTATTAATAACATTTTAAACAGTGCCCCTGCCTTATTATTATGTACCTACTAAACAAACAGCAATTAATTTTAGATTACATAGATCATCTATATTTAGATGTATAACAAAAATCACCCTATAGTTTGTAGCCATTAATATATTTATTTTTATCAATGCTTAATGTTTTGCTTACTTTACTGTGATGCAATAAGCATAGAAGTATGTAACATGTTTAATTATTTTACATTCGTCATTAATTGTTCAGTTATCCTGAACTGAACCACTCATCAAAGTGTTTCAGTGTTGAAATCATGGTTTTCACCCCAAAAATGTCTTTATTTTCTGTTATTTTACCCAAATGTTTGATGAAAAAAAAAACCAATAAAAATGTATTTTTATGTATACAAACCAATACAAATTAAAAAATATTACATAAATTATAACATTATAAATAATTTATCCTTAGCCCATAACTTTGGTCATGTGCTAATATTATTTCCCACTTGAATTAAAAGTAATTCAACACTTAATTCATCTTTATTTATACGCTCACATAATGTTTTTTGAACCTAGTGTTTTTTAAATTATTTTAAATATTTTTTTTGATTGTCCCAAGCTATTTAATGCTATCTTTTGCTATCAGCTCCAACCTCAAGTTTAATTTTTTGAATTAAATGAACCTATATTGTTGGATGACTATGTTCTATCAAGTGTGTAAAGTGATTGTTCCATGATTGACATGTATTAATAGTTCTGTATTCATTATTTAAAGTTGCTTCAAAGTCATTTATGTTAGAAATAAGGGATTAGTTTTTTTAAATTTCATGTTCATACATACCATCATTACCATATGTAATGTCAAAGTAAATTAATAATTTATTTACTTCAGAAATATTTGTTTATTTTAAAAAATTAATTTCTTCGTAAACCCGTTAAAGGGGAAGAAATTCCAGACAATCAATTATTATACAGAAATGACTAAATTTATCATCATTCAAATAAGCTTTAATTTGTTTGTAAACCTAACGCCTGAACCAAACACATTACTAGCTACTATAATTACAGCCTTTTCAAAATTGATATGTAAAAATCTGAGGTTGGGGAACAAATGTTGTTGTTCACATTTTTCAAGAATGGTTTTAAGCATAATTTGAAGCTGTCCTATGCTCTAACAAACAATATACAACAGTAATAAAAAAATAATTTTTGGGAACTCTTGTAACATATAATTGTATAAATTAATCAAAACTGAGGTTAAAATTTGCTAGTTTGCTTCAGTCAAAATACAAAGTCCTTCATTCTTAATTAATGAATATTATAATTCGTTCATAGTTTAAATCCTAGTTGTCAGATAGCTAAATTCGTTTCCCTCCATTCAATGACCAATCACCCAAAATACAAATTAAATATTATTAATATTTCACAGAATCAGTGTTTAGAAAGAACACATTTTTGTTGTGAACAATAAAAAATACCAAAAACCGAAAAAATATTTCTTAGATGTGAATGTGTAGGATAAATAAAGTTATTTCATTTATATCTTTATACAAAGATTATCCATTGCTAACAAAAAAAAATTCGAAGAAACATTTTGAAATGCCATAATTTTTACGATTTAAATTGAAATTTGATCTTAAAACCCTTATGAAAAAAAAACTAAAGCGTTAAACTTAAATATGTTAAATTTTCAGGCAATCCTCTTAAGTCATATAATTTTAATAACAGATACCTACCAAATAAAAATATGAAAATAAATAATAAGTTATTAAAATTAAAATTTAATATTTGAGAATAATTAATACCTACATATAATATAAAGTTACACTATTTTTAATATTATACAAATAATTTATTACATATATTTAACTTCAGTTTACAAATCCTCTAAGCAAGTATGTTTAGAACGATTTAAATTGCTATGTTGCTTTTGTATAACACATTTAACAGAACTTAAGTTTGTTATATTAGTTAAAACTTCATCCAAAATTTTACTTACTGCCTCAGCAAAAATCTGATTTGATTAATTGTTAGTTAACTTAGCACAATTTTTTATATTGTTTAATTAATTTTGGATTATAAATATCTTTCATTTTATATAATACTGCTTCATACTTGTATTTATTCTTCATACTACATTTCCATCATACACTATTTTATTTATAGTATCACCTTTTGTTTTTAATTTAAAAATTTCGCTCATTTTCTTGACTAAAAAAAATTGTTGGATTTAAAAACACTAATGACTTCACAGTATTTACAATCAATGCAGACTGAGCATTTGACAGAACAACCAAACCATTTAGGGAAAATCACTTTTAAAACTATAGAAAGATGAGTAAAGTTTAGTCGTGATAAATGTATAATTTATAACTGTAATAATCTATATAATATAATACGGTTAGTTTCCTAATACTGAAAGATAATTAAAGATTAGGTGACCCAACTTAATAAATTCACCTTCCAAAAAAAAAATTTCACAGACTTTTTACCTGACTTTTGTTTGAAGATTCTTTTTTTCTATATCATTATACTAAAATGTGAATGTTGCTATAAAGATATACTTCTTGTGAAGTCTAATTTTGTCCTGTTAAACAAAGGCATTTTAACGTATGTGGACAAACTAACTTACTGATTTTTATCTCATGGAAAGTAAATTCTTTCAAATTCAAAATTTCAAAGAAGTTTGGAAAGATATCAGTAAAAAAACATGAAAATAAATATCTATCATTAATTTTTATTCAATCAACTCAATGTATTTATTATTGTATTCATAAATATTAGTACTATTATAAGGAAATATTTTTTTTTATTAAATATCTACATTGATATTTTAATTCTCTGAAATACCCCTTATTGAACCCATATTGTTAAACTTGTCCCCTATTTTACATTAATGTATGATTTTGTTATTTGGACAATTATTTTTACTTACCATCACTCTACTGTAAATATATTTTTGTATTAATTTGTTTAATTAATATAATATTTTAATAATACTCGTATGTCAATATTTACAGATCTGATACACTGTGTGATGTTATGTTATTAGCTGATGATGGTGTAAAAATTCCCGCTCATAAAGTCATTTTAGCATCTGGTAGCCCCGTATTTTTATTGATGTTTAGTAGTAACTTCAAAGAAAAACATGAAAGTATTGTTTCCATTAAAGATATAGATTCTGATATCTTGGAAACTATTGTTAAATACATTTATACGTTAGAATTGGATATAACAGAAAAAAACATTGAGGTATTTTGATTATTAAAAACGTATATATTTTTTCCTAGAAAAAATTTTAATTATTATTTTTTTTAATTAATTCAATTATTATAGAAATTTTTAAAAGCGGTTCATTTCTTTAACTTGGATGGATGTGTTGATAAATGTTGTGATTTTATTGAAAATGTTATCAACTTGGAGAATTGTTTAAATTTTATGAAAATGGCTAATCTTTTTTCTTACCAAAAACTTTATAATTTGAGCTTATCATTTATTCTTGACAATTTTCCGTAAGTATAAAATCATAAATAATTTGTATTTATTTAATTAAACTATATGTTTATAATTACAGTAAAATAAAAGAATCTTCATTGTACGAATTGTGTCTTGAACAAGTTCAAACACTCATATCCAACAATTACCTTGTAATTCAATCAGAAGATCAGGTCAATACAATTATTTAATCAAATTGATTTTTTTTTATTGTTGTCGAATATTAGTTACCTATTAGCTATTATCTGTAAAATATTTATAAATGTTCGAAATGAAAGAATCTAAATTTTATTTTCTGTTTTTTTGGAAACCAAGTAAGTATTATTGAATCAAAATTTCTATTACCACATATCTATGTAATAAATTAAAAGTTGTTATATTTGTTGTTTAGAGTGTGATGTATGAAACAGAAATAGAAATAATGGCGAGAATTAAGTCTGGAAATAAATGCTTCTATGGTCTTGCTAAATTACTAGGTTCATGGTCACTGTCAATTGACTTGAAAATACAATTATACATTACTCTAATACAACCAGTTATCATGTATGGAACTGAGACTTGACCTTTAAGGAAAGTTGATGAACGAAAACTCTTAGTTTCGGAGAGGAATATTTCATATTATGAAAAAATATTTGGACCGGTAAAGGATATATCTAGGGGGGAGTGGAGGATTAGGAAAAATGCTGAATTGAAAACACTCTTCTAAAAACCGAATATAGTGGAAACAATAAGTTATAATAGATTACAATGGGCTGGACAGAACTAAAATTCTCTTATACACAGTTCTAGAAGATCCTACCAGAAAAATACCACAAGGAAGACTACGTTTGAGATGAGAGGAGATATCGTAAGGAAGGATATTGAAGTGTTAGAAGGAGTTCTAAATTGAATGATACAAGCATCTAATAGAGTAAACTAGAGGCAAGGTTGTATGTCTGAATGGTCCTAAAGGCTGATTTACCTAAGAAAAAGAAGTATCATAACTAGAGAATCTATAGATATATTAATGTCTAATATTTAAACACAATACTTAAAATATACACCATAGATAATCTGCCAGACAGATATCAAATTATTATAGTTTTTTTTAAATTTTAAATTATCAAATAAATAATGAACAAAATATTATAGGTAATTTTATAATTGGACATTTTAAAGTTGCTAATAAAAATTGTTTATCATATATTGAGCTCTCTACCCCCTAATAAATAATAATCTAAATGCACTTCAAAATTTGATTATCTTATCTTTAACTTTAAATAAATATAATAAATATTTAAAAATATAAATTTTAAAAAAATCTACTGAATTTAAAAAGAAATATGACAATTAAAAAAAAAAAATCGATCACCGGTTAGTGATAATTGTTAAAAATTTATTAACTTAAATTAATACAATTTATATAGGTAAACTATTAACATTTTAATTTAGAGTTGTGATCATTCATTTAAAAAAGAAATACATTCGTATTTACATTCATCGAACAACCACATTTATAAAAAAAAAAAAAAAAAGATGAAATAAAATTGTTTTAAATACTGTTTTATCATGTCATCATGTCTAAGTGACTGGCCAGTTTTCATTTACTATCTGAGCTATATCTTTTAATATAAATTTAAACTGAATATATTTTATGTATTGGCATTATTACATTATTTTATAGTAATTTATTTATTTATTTGTTAATGCCAAACAGCAATTTTATGAGACAAACATGTATTAGTAGTAGCTACAATAGGCTAGCATATATACATAAATATTTATTAAATAAGTTAATTTAAAATAACAATAGTTTAAACATATACATTTTATATTAACAAATAATTAGATAAATGGCCCAAGGATTAATTATTATTATTTACAGCTCTGAACATACAATGATTGTAACCTATGTCCATGTCTTGTGTGTTGATACATATAATTATGATAGGTTTCTTGAAGAATGAGAGGGAATTCTAAAAGGTAGAGCGACAAGAAATTCAGGAACATCCATCGAACCATTTAGAATTTAAAATAAAAAATCTAAGCCCGCTTTATCACGGTGAAAGGCAAGTGTAGAGATATTTAGAACCTCTCCTATGTTTGAATAATCGTGAAGTTCGTGGTGATAAATATTCATTCTGAAGGCAATACAGTTTAAAAATGTATTTTATGTGTGTTTGAGTTGTATCTGGTCTTACAAGATACAGTTGTCATACTATTGATCCATATTCAAGTAGAGTAATATAAAAGTTACTTATATATAGGTACTAATAAATGATTATTTAAACAATAAACCAATGTTTGGTATAAATACATTATTACATTTAATTTGCATTCACATTCATTTGTAAAATTAATGTTCAATTATTATAATCCACGGTGTATTAATTGAATGTACTTGCGAATGCATTCTTTTTCGAACCTGCAATTTACATGTTTTCATTAATAATTAATAGTTTTTTTGTAAATATAAAATAAATTGTTGATAACTAATTTCAGGTTTATAATTTTGTTATTGGCTGGACAAAATTTGATGAAAAAAATCGAAAACAATTTTTGTGGGATTTGATAAAATTTGTAAGATTCCCATACGTTACAAGTGGTTTTTTTACACGCATTTTTGATGAACCTTTACTCCTAGAATATCAATTAGGTAAGTTATTATGATGTATTTATTTAATGTATATTGAAAATATTTTGAATGGTTACATAATTATAAAATAACATAATTCAAAATCGTGTTTGATTAATTTGTAATGTATAAAAATTATATTTTATTGCAATTGAGAATAATTAAAAAAATTTTAATGATTAACATCTTTTCTTTTTCAATTAATAAGTTTAATTTTTAAACTATATAAAATGTCTCTCTTTCTTAATTCTAAAATAGAAATACATTTAATATCTACAAAAATTTAATTCAATTATAATTTTTTGTTTGATATTATCATTTGTTTTATTTTTCAATATAAATGTTCATAAAAAAAAATATCTAAAAACTTAAATATAAGAACATTATTTGTACAACTACAACAGTTTTTTTGATATTTCAAAAATTATTTTTAAACCAGATTAAATAATTATTAAATTATGATATTTCACTCAATCATATCTCACTGAAAAATTAGAATATCAAAAAATCAATGCACTTGCATAAATAATGTTTTTATCTTTAAGTTCAATAATAGATCAGTTCATTCTAATATTGAAACTAACAGCACTGACTTGTCCTTAATAATTAAATTTAATCCAAAATGATGTCAGCAATTGTTAAATCATTCGTACAGATTTTTAACACCCTTACATTTTTATTTATACACCCCAAACAATATAAAATAAGTTTTAAAATTATGTGTTCTGACATGACGTCATATGGAAACCCGTTTTTTTTAATATTTGTTCTATCAACTCGAATACCATGCCAATACCAATGGATTTATACAGGCTAATAACCACAATATTTTTTTTTTTTTTTTTTTTTAGTATACAATCCCAAAAACCTAATAAAATTGATTTAAAATATCTTGGATATATCCTACATTTCCAACTTTTTACCTTAAATAGTAAACTACCTGTGAGTATTATCCTGTTTTTTTACTTAAATTTACTCAAATAAGTGGTCAACCCATAATAAAATAAAAAATATTTTAACTAAAACTAAGTCAAATATCAAAATTGCTTTTTATAAAAAATTAAAGACCATATCTTTGTTTCAAAGATTGCTTATATAATCGAGCCAACTACCACAATCTGAAAACTAATTTTACTGTTTGGGTATGTATACAAATGAAACAATTGTGATTAGAAATCTATACACATTATAAAACAATCACTGACATAGCTTTTGAGTCCAATTTCCAGTATACAGAGCTAAAAGATAAAACATGCAGATGTGGTGTCCTATTAAGTAATATTTTAAATATGAAATTATGAAATGTATATTAGGTATGGCATCAACTATGGAGACTATGTTAAATCATTTTCGTAGCCCAGAATATCCTGAAACCTTTGAAGGATTAACTGATGTATGCAAAAGGAGGATTCCTAGGCATTTGAATAAACCTAACGTTAGTAGTTTTATAATATTTTATTTTAAACTTTTTAATATGATTTATAACATTTTCAGGTGCTTATAGCTATTGATAATTATGATGTATTCAAAGGTGTTAGTTACCTTAAAACTAATATTAATTATTCAAACTGGATTTCTGGTTCTAAAATATTTATACCTCCCAATCAATGTTCAAAAATAGTTTCTTTGGAAAATGGAATTATATTTTCAATTGGTGGAGAATCAAAATTATGTACTTCTGTAATAAGTGATGTATATATTCTTGATTTATCACAGTTTTATAGAGGATGGGTAAATACAACACCTATGAATTATGCTAGAAAGCATTTTGGTGTTTGCATACGTGACAACAAAAGTATATACGTAGTAAGTATAGTTTTTGTAAAAAAACTAGATTAAATATTTAAAAAATATGTATTTTTAATCTTTACAAGGTTGGTGGAGTTGACGATGATGGAGACCCACTGTCTTCTATTGAAGTTTATGATATAGTTAATAAAACGTGGAAATTACTTACTACAATGTTAACACCCCGAAGTCACTGTAGTGCTGTTTACCACAAAAATATTCTTTATGTTGTAAGTTTTTTTCAAATATTATGTGTGTAAAACATTATATATTCTAAATATACAAATTTTTTTTTATTTTTATTACAAATGGACAAGACCAAATAAAAAATTATAGTAAATTATACAATAGTTACATAAATTGCATAATATTGCGATAATTAGGCTAATAGTGCAAAAGTAAAATCGGTATTAGCAGAACGAAAGGAACAAATTATGGGACATTTTTTTTTAAATTGAGGAAAAATTATTTTTCATTTATTATATATGTATTTAAATTAATGACTGGCATAGGAAAAGTGGCATCCCCATCGCACGGTGCATCTTAGTAAGTACACTGCAATAGCCCTACCCTGACCTTAATTGGTTGGGGTAGTCTGGTTCTCCAGGTTGAGGGTTGAGCGTAGGACTAACAACCTTACCTTGTTAAAAAACACATTATTACAATTCAACCCAAACAGAAATGAGTGGTAATAATGTTGTCACAGTAGATCAATACTTAGAAGAACCCTCTTTGGAAGAGATTAAAATGATTGTCAAAATGTTAAAGAGAAGAAAGACACCTGGAGAAGACTCAATAATGCCGGAACTCTTAAAGAAAGGAAGAAATGCTCTAATAATGAATCTAAAACAGCTGATAAATAAAATATGGAGAGAGAAAACAATACCAAAATCATGGCAGGTTTCAATACTGTCCTAATATATAAAAAAGGACTTGTAATGGACTGCAAAAACTATAAGGGTATATCCCTACGTAACACATTTTATGAAGTTCTCTCAGACATAATTTTAAATAGACTAAAATTGTATTCTAAAGGATAATAGGAGAATACCAAGTAGGCTTTACAGATGAAAAATCCACCATTAACCAAATACATATTATCAAACAAATAATGGAGAAGAGTCAAGAATTTGATAAAGACGTATACCTGCTACTTGTAGATTTTAAACAAGCCTATGACTCAAAGTAAGAAGTACATTATGGAATTTAATGATACAACTAGGAATACCAGTTAAACTCGTTTGGATAGTGAAAGCATGTATGCTAAACTCAAGGTGCAAAGTGAAGTTCAACTCATCAATATTTTACAGTAAATACAAGAGTGAAACAGGATGATGCTCTATCTCCGATCTTATTTAATATTACATTGGAATCCGTAGTTAGAGAAATACTGCAAACGACCCACAAGGTTTGAATATAGGACAAGGTAAACAGATAACATTAGCCGCATATGCGGATGACTTAGTTGTTTTAGCAGGGACAGAGGATAGTCTAAAGAGAATAACAAAATTTCTAAGTGAAAAAGTGAGAAAGATTGGGCTTATCATTAATGAAAACAAAATCATATTCATCATTGTATCTAGGAGAGAACATCCACAAAACGCTATAACAGTAAAAGACATGTCATTTAAATACCAAAAAGTAGATATAAACTTGCTGACAGATAGCCACAAAGAAATACACAAACAAATTACAGCTGGCAATAAATTCTATTATTCACTAGTTAAATTATTTAAATCTAAAGAATTATCAAGAACAAAAATAGGATTATATAAGACCCTCGTTAGGCCAATTGTACTGTATGACTGTGGAGCATGGGCGTCTACCAAATCTAATAAAATCAGATTAATGATCTTCGAAAGGAAAATCCTGCGAAGAATATTTGAACCAAAGAAAAATGAAGAAGGTACCTATGAAATAGGATCAAACAGAGAACTTAATACTTTATTTAATGAGCCCACTATAGCTGTCACACACAAAAGCCAGGGAATAAGATGGGCGAAACACGTCTAGAGAGCAGAATACCAACTGATTTTGACCATCACGAAATGAAAACCGAATAAAAGTCGACCGAGAGAAAGTCCTAGGCAACGATGAGAGAATCAAGTCAAGAATGATCTCAGGATGTTGGGAATTACAAATGGTGAAGAACTGGCAGAACACAGAGAAGCATGGAGGGAGAAGCAGCAATTGGCCTAAATGGCCTAGAATAAGCTAAAAAAAAAAAAAAGAATTAATGCCTAGCCAGATTAAAAATTAAAAAAAAAAACGTGTATTAACAACGTTTCTTAAAAGTATTGAACTAATAGTATGTAAAATTTAAAATATTTATCTTATTATATTTTAGTTTATATTTAAGACTGTTAGGAGCACACCTTTTAAAACTTAAGTCTAGTTCCGCTTAAGATACTAATATTTTATTTATTTGATTTGTATTTTAGGTTGGTGGAAGAAATGATGAAAGTAATTTGTTAATAATTGAGTGTTTTAACGAATCATTAATGTCCTGGATAAACTCAATCTCCCAGTTAAATGAGGGACAAATGTACAACATAGGTCTTACAGTTGATAAAGATATACTTTATGTAGTTGGTGGTTGTAATCACAGATATCAACGAAATTTGGTAGCTCTAAATACCTTATTCAAATATGATATTAATAAGAACAAAGGATGGTCTCGTATGACATTAATGAAGCACAGACAAAATTCAAGTTAGTATAAAAAGAAAACTTACTCAAGACCAAAAAATTTTATAATTTAATTCCATATTTAGGTGCTGTGATAATCAATGACAACATTTTTATTGTTGGTGGAAAGGACCCTGACTTGAAACCTATACCGTACACTGAAATTTACGATACAAAACATTGTTCATTAAGAGTGCACCTTTCAGAATTAACAACTCATGCTTTAAATGTAATTGCATTAAATGATCGGTTAATGGATATATTAGGTATTTGGATGAAACAATGAGTCCTAGGCTGTTAAAATTGGATGCATATAATATAATTCACTATCTTTTAACAGTAAAACTTCTTAAATATAATATTTATTTACTACTAATATTTAAATTTTTATTTATTCAATTTTTATAATTAAACATTTTATTGATTTTATTTTACTGACTAGAGGGATAGAGAAGTTATGTGTGTTTTTTTTTTCTTTTTAACTCTAAGAGCAGAAAAAACCCAAATATTTTCTTGCAAAATCTTTAGTTTAATTTAACTAAACTATAATTTAGAAATAAATGCATTTATCTTTTTTCCAAAGTTACATATTTGTTAAGATAAATTTTCTTAGATTTAAAAATAAATCATTTTTACTTATTATTTATGTGCCAAATATTTCTTAATTAATTATCTCTTAGTGTTTCATATAATCAATTAATGTTAATAATTTATAACTACTATACTATTATTATGTTTATTATATTATATAATCAATAATTTATTAATCTACCTTATGAGTATAGTTCATTGTACATAATAATTGTATGCAAAAAGCTGTCCTAGGATAATGGAGTCGGATAGCCACTGTTATAAAGAGTGATTTTTTTTATCATGAACCAGCAATTATCTCAGAAAATTTTTAGTGAATTAGATTTCTGTTTTTCCCAATTTTTATAGAATCGTTTAAGCTTTATTTTAAAACCATTTTTAATTTTTACCTCTACTCCATGAACCCTAAATAAGTGCATACTTTTGATTTTCAAATAGGACCCCCCCCCCCCTTTTAAACAGATTTGAATAGAGAACTTTTGATATATATAACACTAATATCAGATTGACTGTTTATGAGTTATAACAGTTTTAAGTTTAGACCAGAGGAGTAGAGAAGGGTAATAAATTGCCTATCTATAACTCAAAACTATAAAAATCACCTTGTAAATGAGAAGTTGTTAAGAAAATTTAATTTATATGTGTACGTAACAATTAACCATTGCTAACGAAAAAATGATTCTGAATGAAGTTCGGTTGATAGTGTTGATTTTGCAACAATATATATATATATCATATAGTGAAATATTATATATTTTCTTTAGTAATATTTGTTTAATATTATACCTATTTTCCCGGTGTTAACCATTTATTAAGAAAACTGGAAGAATCAAAAAATTATTATTATAAATTACTCCCCAGTCAGATTTCCTTTAAGAAAACTGGTACACTTGAAAATCTGAGCAAAATTTAAATCTACCAGCAATTTTGCTCCAACTTTTAATGATATTAATTTTTCTAAAAGAAAATTTCACTTGGGAAGTACTTTGGAGAGGTCATTTTTCGATTTTCTCAAGTTTTTCCACCAAATGTGATAAACCGGAATAAAACATAAAAAAAACATGGGAAAATTGGTAAAATCGGTACAACATTAACAAATATTATTGAAGAAAATATATAAAGCCTATTTAATTATTTTACCATAAAACAACATAAATATCCTTGACAAAGCATCACTATCAATCAAACTCCACTCAGAATCGTTTTATCGTTGCTTACATGTATACATTAAATTATCTACAGTGGCTGCACCAATCCCTATTATCCTATGATGTCTTTATTTATTAATTTTTTTTTTATTGTAACGTGGTAATATATCGCCATTTAATTTGTTATTTTGTCTACATTATTTTCGTTGTTACTGTGTATTATTAGTATTATATTATAACTGTTACTTGTAAACCAAACCTAAAATGTAATCAAAGATTTGTGACTGTCGCTTATAAATAAACACATTTATAGAAGTGTTACCTTTTAGCCCAAAAGTGACTTTTCTCTTTTCACCCAAATACAATAACCTTATTTCATCTTTTTGTCTGAAATTATTGTACACTTTTCACCCAAGATTTCATGTTCAACATATTCAACACTATTATTTATCAGAACGATTCAAAATAAACCATTTTACATTTACCCAGAAAGTGTCATGTGAATGCTGTTAGTAGTACTATTTCAAGTAATATGAAGCTATTGTATTTTTTGTACTATGAATACTAAGATAGTATAATTTTCAACATACAGATAATGATGTAATTTAGTTATTTTCTGTACATGAATGATTTTGAATTGTATTGTATTCTTGTTTTCTTATAAATAGGTAAGTATATTTTTTTTTTTTCTAAAATGATAATTGTCCACACATAAATATCTGGATACAATTAAAAATGAGAAATATTTACCAAATAAATAATTTATTCGTAGATACAACCATCGATTAAGAGGACATTACACATGTATTTGTTGTTTTCGTCTTACAAACACATGGCAATGTAAAAACATGCATATGCAGACTATACAGAAATCGCTTAATTTAATAAGTCGGGTTTTTCCCATTTCCTACGAATATATAAATTTACTGTTTATAAATAACGACTTTTACATATTTTTTTAATTCATTAAACCTTTTGAACATATAATTTTTTCAAAAAAAACCCATCGTCTTTTGCCTCCGGAATATTATTCTCTGTACAATAGGTACTTTTACTCTAAAACCAAAAATAATCGAATTCTTGTTCCGTCTTCGGTGTAGTCTACTTTTTATATTGTGTGTTTCAGCGTTTGTAAAACAGAAATAACAAATACAATTTGCAATATGCATACGTACTGTGTAGCATGCTCTCAATTCTCAAGTATCAATGTAGTATGCACCATAGATAATAGAATGCAAGTGCAACCACTGAATTCTCACGGCTTACCACAGCTATATATGGCATGACTGCTGCAGGCTGCAAGTCGCGTTATCAACGCGATAACAGGTCATAACATTTTGTGATAATATAACTAACCAGAAAAAAATAAGAATGAAACCACTACAATCCGCGAGTTCGTGGTTCACTGCCAGTATACGTTTTAGTACTTTTTCTGTGGTTCACTGTAACGCCGTCTCGCGCTTCTCTCAGTTACCGTGAGGTGATTAGTAACCGTGTGTGTTGTTAAGGTCATTTATTTTAGTCTGAAGATATTGTTTTTATTTTCATTCTTCGATAAAAAAAAAAAAAAAAACGTTGATAATAAAAACGGCCGAACGATATTTCCCCGACTCAGTCGGTCCAGTAGACAATACAAATTACGAGCCGCTTGAGTCGTGTTCGTGTCGTCATCAAGGTGCCTAGGAAGTTTTATCAACCCTAAACCCAATTTCTCCGTAGACCGTCTGGCACTTCAGCCGTTGATAGTCGCATTTGATTTATTTTGTTAACAAAATTATCGGCACGTATACGTACGTCCCCGAGAGTTCGATCCGTCCGAGAAAAAGATGTGAATTCGACCGTTGGACGCGCACCCAACCAATATTCGTCCTGTGGGTAAGTACCTACTTAACGGCGTTCCTTCCGTTATACATTAAACTTTTACCCCCAACAATTCGAGCCCAATATCACTTGCCCGTCTGACGTTCTAATTCCCGCGTTGTTGTATTAAAAATACTTAGACATTTATTTGTTTTAATGTAGGTATTTCGGGTAACGGGTAACAACCATGAAGACTGACCTGAGCATTGAAATGCCTGATGGGCGGTTGAAGAAATTCGGTTACAGGTACGTTTTGTCTTCATTGCTAAATTCTCTACAATGAAAAATGATCGATATTTGTATTTGTGTAGGCGTTGGTATTTTTATTTTAGTATTACCTAGTAGAAGAAGGGGTAGGTACCCACCGAATCAATCTATATTATTTTGTAAATTACCTACCGTTTACCAATATTATTGTCAAATTGGGTAGGTAGGTATGTAGGTACTTGAAACTCTGTATTTTTAGTATTCGTTGACACATTAAACCTTTAACCTTATTTATAAATGTATAATATATAACAGTTAATAGCTAGGTAATTGTAATGTTTTTTATTTACTTTAGTTTCTAATTTAAATAAGTTCAGAAACTGATTGCAAAATGGTAGGGATTTTTTGAACAAATTTGTATAGGTTGTTTTTAAATTCCACATAGCTATTGGACATAACAATATAAATTGGTAAATATAATTACAGTGATTCCAAGGCTAAAATATGATTTATATGTTGAACCTGTAAGTATTACTCATTAGTTAATTTTTGCAAAACTATTATAACCTTCTTTATATTAAATAGTCATTCTCTTGTCCTAGAATTCCTTGAATTGTTTGCCTAAAGATGCTTTTTATGCTTTTTGGACACCTGATGGTTTTTAATTATTTGTATTTAAATTATAATAACATAATATATCTAGGTATAAACATTAAACATATCTAATTAAATAATTTTCAGTGTTATTCATTATAATTAGATAAAGTTAAAATATTTACTGCAATATATACATTATTTATTAATTAATATTGAAGGTCCCAAGAAAAACAGAAGTCTTGAATATAAAAACAATTATTAATTAAATATGATTACCTATTTTTAATTAATGGATTTTTTAAAATATGACTATTTTACTTGAAACAATATTTAGCTTTCAAAATTATTTTGTCAGATTAGGTATTATTTAACTTTTATATCATTTTTGTTTACTAATTTGTGTATTTTTCGAATGTAATTTTATAAATATTAAATATCACTTAAACTAATTCATAAATATTAATTTAATAAACAATAATTACCAAATTAATCATTTCTTTAATCATTTCAATATTGAACAATTTTTTGGTTCATGATCAATAGTTTAGTTTATCTAAAGTTATTCTTATTTTTATTCATTTTTCAAATGTATTATAATATGTATAGATGTTCTATGAAATAATGAAACAGGTATATCTGTGTGACAGTTATTTAAATATTTGAATCTTATAGTTTCATTGTATATTGTATTATACTATGTACTATATAATTTCTTTGGTTTTTCTATTTAAACTTAATTATTCATATTATTTTTATCAATTTATATTTGACAGACTTAAAAAAAATATTTTATTAAGAAGTTAAATGGTTTGTAGAATTATTCTTATTCAATGTTTTTATTATCCCAATAAACGTCATAATATAATGTTAAATCATACAAACATTATGAATATTACATATTTTTTTGTTATAATTTCAGCTAAACTTAAGATTTTTGGTAGTCAATAAAATTATAATTTAGTAGCATAGGATAAATCTAAAATTACATTTTACTCTCTAGTTATAAAATAATATTGATTTTATAACATTATACCAGTAAGTACCATTTCCTAATTTTATATTATTTTATGTACTGTCAAAGAAATATAATAGGTTTGTTTAAAAAAATATCTGTAATAACATAATGTACATTTTTTAATAGACTCCACGAAAAAAATTATGACAGTACCCCAAATAATATGCATAATAAAATACTTATCATATTTTGAGTATTGAATAATAATTAGTCTTGTTTAGGTAATTTAATTTTGGACTATGTACCTGAATAAAACATAAACTTTAATAATAGTTTTCCATTGTTAAAATTATTTATTTTAAGTGCTTTTCCTGCATTGGTTTACATTAATCATTTAAATACTAATAACTACCTATATTTTAGATAGTAATTATAGTATTATTAACACATGCAAATTGTTTAAATGATATCCATTAAAAAGCCAAGACAACTGATGTACTTATTGGATTTTATTATATTATTTAATACACTTAAGTTATTTGTGCAACACAAAAAAATCTTTTCTTTTAAACATTTTTCGCTTACCAATTCCATGCATTAGATTTATATAAAATATTAGGTATATCTAGATCTCATTATTCTCATTAAAACTAATTTATTAAAATGGAAAAAAATCAAGTACTAATTATTTAAGTTAAATTTAAAACTGTTAGTTTTAACATGGATTACCAATAATTATTTTACTATATTTTCAACTAGAATTTATTATCTATCTATTATAGTTTTATAGAAACATAGGTTGTAAATATACATTTTCACTAGTACATAACTTTTAGTTAAATTTTAAAATTTTTATGTTAGGTATTATTTACAAGAATATTTATCTTACATGTCTATAAATATGTATAAACAAAATCAAAATATAAATTTAAAAACGATGCAACTAATGTGATTTAATTTTGTACAAATTATTTTTAAATTGTGATATCACCTATATATTTTAAACACTAAATAATAGTATCAAATAGTATGTCCGTCTTTTTTAAATTGATTTTTATTTGTTTTATATTGACAATATATAATGTTTTAATGTTGAAAAAACATACTGAATGTTTTTGGAAACAAAATTTGTGATCATTAAGCATCAACATATAATCAGATTTTAAAAAATCAATTTGTTAATCTGGGTTAAATAAATTTAAAATCATACATTTATTTTTTGTGTAAAGTTTTATTATTGTTACTTTAAAACAATAAGAAATTATTAAACCATTTATGAGAACATTCTCATTTAAGTAGTAAGTAGGTACCTACCCATATTCGCATATATCAGGTTGATGACAATGTAAGACATTGTGTTGACTTTATGTGTAAGACAGTGACAAATAATATTACTGATGTTATTTTAATTATTATTATGGAAATTTAAAACTATGTTTATATATTTTTTTAACTTTTAAATATTCATATTTTTTTCAGGGCAACTGTAACATGTAAAGTCATCATCCGTATACTATTTGTCCTTATAAACAACATTTATTGTATACCGACATATTGCGTTTGGATGGTTATATTTTTCCCTCTGAGGAAAATTCATCCAGATTTGTATTGGAAACTTGAAGGCTTGTTCTACCATTGGCTATTAGCAATGGTTTCCATGTGGTCATGGTCAGCTGGTTATAATAGTGAGTCATACTTATTAATTACATAGAAAGTCTGTTAATTTAATAATT